TGCCCCACAGCTGCGTAATTATGGTTCGCAAGATGCGCGGTTGGAGGAGAGACATTCCTTGGAGAACAGGACCACATCTGTTCTGTTGCCTCAAAGACCGCTTGGAGATGATTATATTACCCTTGGGCCCCAAGGTGGCCTTGCTAGGGGAATGGCTCTCAGAGGTCAGCCTACAGCACCTAGCATTGATTTGGCTGAGATGCCAAGTCCAGGAGATGCACGGAGGATGGGATCTGTTCTAAATGGATTCAGTTCTACGCCTGAACAGACTACCTATGGTCATAGAGAAGATCTCATGCCAAAACACATGCCTGTCAGGTTTGCTAGTCCGACTATTTACCACGAATCACATCAACAAGAGCGGAATATGACCTATGAGAACAGAGGTAATAGAAATATAGATCACAATATTGATAGATCTCTTGCATCTCCACCTACACGGGGTGGGCCAATAAATTCTATGCTAAATATTTCTTCGGAAAAGGTGTTTCCAGAAGAGCAGTTGCATGACAAGTCCATGTCAGCAATTAAAGAATTTTACAGGTATACTTTTTTCTCACGCCAGACATGTAGTTGTCTTATAATGACTTTAGACTACAAACATACACATCAATAAGGAAGGAATGCTAATAAAAAAGGAAAACACATGATTACTTGATAACCTTTCCTTCCTTTAGGTCCTCTAGTCATAGTGAACTGAAGATGCTAAATTGTTCGATTTCTTGTTTCTATCTCTCATGCCATTTTGTTGGATTAAGTCTTTTGTGAGCTAACTAACTACTTTCGTTAATGTAACTGTGGTTACTTCAGCATCTTCATGTTTGTGTCATAGAAGTAATCTACAGGTTGAATGTGGGGCCTGCAGTTCTTTAAGTTGACCACAAGATTCCATTGGACGTATGCTTAATTCAGTTCTGTGGACAAATATATCTTCATGTTTAAAAAATGATCTGACATTATGCTAGGTTTAATTGCAAGTATACTGAATATTGTTCACAATCTATACTGCTAAACTATTGTGGAGTAGGGATTGTACAATTAAAATTCTTGAGTAATTGGCTGTGTCATTCTAGGATTTTCTGCAATTTTGAATGATGCAACATGAAATTTGAAAAAGCCTTTGTATCTTGACATTT